TAACCATCTCATCCTTTGCCGTCCCCGTCTTCTTTGACCTTCAATCTTTCCCAGCATCAGGGTCTTCTCCAGTGAGTGCTCCCTTCTCATTTGGTGGCCAAAGTATTTGAGCTTCAGTTTCATTATCTGGCCTTCCAGGGAACAGTCAGGGTTGATTTCTTTTAGGATTGACTGATTTGATCTCCTTGCAGTCCAAGGGACTCTCAAGAGTCTTCTCCAGCACCATAGTTCAAAAGAATCTATCCTTCGGCGCTCGGCCTTCCTTATAGTCCAACTCTCGCAGCCATACATGACTACTGGGAATACCATTGCTTTGACCATGCGGATTTTTGTTGGCAGGGTGATGTCTCTACTTTTTATCATGCTGTTTAGGTTCGCCATCGCTTTCCTCCCAAGTAGCAGGCATCTTTTAATTTCATGACCTATTTGTTAAGAAGATTAAAACCATGTCATCTGCATAAAGAAGACTTGAAATTTTTTGTTGACCAAGTAATGGACGAAAAAAGTGTGGACCTGAGAGAATCTCTGTTATGTCATTGATGTACAGGTTAAATAATGATGGGGCCAGCCACAGCCCTGTTTCACACCTTTACTAACAGGAATTCTACTGGTTAGAGAGCCAGAAATACCCACTCTAATTTGGGCAAAAGTATCTCTATGTAGCTCTTGAAGGACCAGTAATACTGAATGTAAATTGTAATTTTAATGTTTGTATAAATTGTTTTATTGTTTTATTGTTGTATGCCGCCCTGAGCCGCCTCGGCGGGAGGGCGGGATAAAAATTAAATAAATAAAATAAATAAATAAATAATAACCGCCTCTCAACATTCATTTTAGCTAACTTTGACCAAAGGCGGTCCCTGTTTATAGAATCAAATGCGGCAGCCAAGTCGACAAATGATACATAAGGTGCTTTTGTTGGTCCGTTTAACCCAGAATGTGCCAGTTGGTAAAGGGTTTGGCAGTGACAGATTGTTCCAAGGTCTTTCCGAAAACCTGCTTGAGCTGGATGTAGAATTTCCTCAGCCATCCAGTCTTCCAGTTTTAACAGGAAGTATTCACTGTATAGTTTTGCCACTATATTTATTTATTCATTTATATCTAGTAAACTTTTTGGTCTATAATTGTGTGGGTCTGCAATGTCCCCCTTTTTATGTATGGGCATCACAATGCTCAGTTTCCAACCAGAAGGAAACACTCCAGACCCATTAATCTGTGTGAAAACTCTAGCCAGCAAGGGGTCCCACCACTCAGGGAAAACTTTGTACAGTTCAGATGGTAACATATCTTCCCCCGGGGATTTTCCTGTGGACAGTATGGCTATTAGACCTCTAATTTCAAATTCTGAGACTGGTGACCATTCTGGTAGACCTGTAAAGTCTAAGGGTGCAACCTGAGGGATTTTTTTTTGGCCCTCTGGTTGAGGACAATTTAGCCCAAACACATTACTGAAGTAAGTGAACCATACATGGCCTGGGATATGTGCATCAATCTGGCAGTATGGACTATTATACCCCACTGAGGTCTCTCCCCTTCCCAAACCCTGCCTTCCCCAGGCTCCACCCCAAATCTCCATGGATTTCCTAACCTTGAGCTGGCAACCCTGGAACATAGAAAGGCTTGCTTCCTGGAAGGCCCATTGGGAATAATAGGAGCCTGGAATGCCAATTGACTTGCATGGGCTCCATTGGAAAACATGAGGGTACAAGTAGAGTTGCTATAAAAATGCGAAATGGATTTTCCATTAGGGTCTTTGGGCCCAAACACACTACTCTGAGGATGGAATAGGAGACCACGGAGTAGAATGACAGCCCCAGGGTGAAGCAGGAGTGTTCTGGAACAGGAATGACAGGCCACGGAGTAGAATGACAGCCCCACGGTGGAGCAGGAGTGGTTTTGGACTGGAATGACTTCCCCAGGAAGTGGTAGGAGTGTTCTTGAACTGGAATGGGAGACCACTAAGTGGAATGACAGCCCCTGGAATGACAGGCTCCAAGGTAGATTGACAGTCCCTGGAAGTAGCAGGAGTCTTACGGGCCTCGAATGACGGGCCCCAGAGTGGAAGGAGAGGCAGTTCTGCGCAACTGGATTTGCACACTGTAGAGTGAAAGACTTGACATTTAAATATTTCTGGAATGTGTGTAGCTATCACCAGATCAGCTCCATCTCAGCTTCTTTGTTTCCTTACAAATTCATGAGGTTGATGTGACCCTCCTCCTCCATTGTCAATTATACAGCTTGCCCTTGTCCCTCTTGGCCCTGTCATCCCAGATCCAGAACACTCCTGCTGCACCCTGGGGCTGTCATTCCACTGTTGGCCCTGTCATTCCAGTTCCAGAACACTCCTGCTGAAACCTGGGGCTGTCATTCCACTTTGTGGCCTGTCTTCCCAGTCCCTGTACACTCCAGCTCCACCCTGGGGCTGTCATTCCACTCTGTGGCCTGTCATTCCAGTTCCTGAACACTCCTGCTCCAACCTGCGGCTGTCATTCCACTTTGTGGCCTGTCATCCCAGTCCCTGATCACTCCTGCTCCACCCTGGGGCCGTCATTCCACTCCGTGGCCTGTCATCCCAGTTCCAGAACACTCCTGGTACACCCTGGTGCTGTCATTCCACTCCGTGGCCTTCCAACCCAGTTCCTGAGCACTCCTGCT